AGACTCTTAAAACTACTCAAATCATATTTATTTCTCTTAGGGATGACCTAGCCGAGTAACCGCTATGACGTAGTCGCGTTTTATAAATGCCACCATCGCCCGGCAAGCGGCGGCTGCATCGGCGCGCATAAAGCTCGCTCACGCGATCCTAATTTACGGCGCCATATTTGTTTCCAGCACGCGATAGCCTTTGTTTTAGGGTGTCGCGGGATAAAGGGTCTGTAGGGGAGCGAAGAGGGGGGCGGAGGGGGCCGTGGAAAACAAAGGAAACGCTGGGAAAGCGGCGGTGGACTTGGAAAAGCCATGAATTAAAAGGAAAAACGCGCGGTGGTCTTGTGTGTGGATAAAAGATCGGGAGACGGTCGAGACAAAGGACTGTGTTTGTTGTATACCTAAATAATTTGTGTGCTTGAATATAATTTAGTTTGGGTCTATTATTTAATACTTTTCCAGACAACAAAATAAAATATGTTTAAAGATCCAGAAATACTTCATGATACTTCATGAAACTTCATAGAATAAAACACTGATTCACCAGAATACGCCAAAAACTGGACGCCCGCTTCCCTGACAATGTTAACATTATCAATAGATGATTTAAACTCAAAAAAACTTTGTTTTAATCATCTGCTGATGATGCAGACATGATTAGCGAAACGCGCGTCCTGTGTTAATAGTAAAGTTTTGGTGTATTATGGTGAATTAGTGTTATATTTTGTTGTTGTAAGACCAAGGATCTCAGCCAGCAACTTTAATCCTATACATATTTAATTGAATATATTGTATAAATAGAAGTTTTTGCTGGAAAGTCAAATTTTGTTTCAAAAAGAATTGTCTTGCTTGATATAAACTATGAATAACTCCCCTTTTATCGAGGTAACGTAAAGACTGTTCAGTCATCGTTCACCGTTACGTCATCATTATTTGTCAAATATGAGTTTTAGGGTGTGTCTGAGATCAGTTCATATTGTTTAGAAAATTTTAAGTACGTTCCTATACTATTGATTGAGCGAGTTCCGTTTTTTTTTCGAGCATTTATTCATTTTTTCTAGGACTCATCATCAGTTACGATCCCTTTAATTCGAATCCTTTGGACTGTTCAAATTCCTATTTCTAAAGCATCAGCAACTCGCTATATTATTTAAAATCGCTGTCAATTTGTATTTTATATAGGAATATTACTACACCTTTGCATTATACTTACTTCATATACGGCGTCCACGGGCAAGAGTATTCTACCTGCATCTCTTTCTCAAGAAAAATAATTTATAAGCAATAGCAATGAGCTCTTATTCATTTTGGTATTATTGCAATAAAAAAACGAATTTTGTTTTACAACTCAAATTTTAATTTTGACATTGATCGATGTCTGTCAATAAAATTGTAACCCCAAATCAAATAACAATGACAATTATTAAAAAGAATATGCAGTAATTGCAGGCTGGCAAATGATTGAGAGAGTTATGACATTATGACAATATATGACGTGACGTTGGACTATGGCTGAACATTCTACCGGGTGTTGCATCGTCGGACGGGACATAGGAAATCCTATGTAAATTTTAATGGGGTCAATTATTGGCTTCCCTAATTATTTTAGAGAATAATTCTATTTAGGTTTATTGAAGAGCACTAAAACCCACATTCAAAAGAATAACTTTAGATATTTTTGATTAGCTCGTTTACGAGTTATCGCCGATTTCTTTTTAAATATTTCTCCTTTCTTATGGCCCTGTATTTACTTATGAGCACCAGTCAAGGTAAAAGATAACTGTCAAATGAAGTTGTCATTTCAAAAATTTACCTATTTAGTGCTTTATTATTATTGAAAACTCATTCCTACATCGGAAATCTTAAAGATGTTTTTATAAATACAAATTAATATGAATTAAAGTAAAATAAAGTAATCAATTACAAGGTTAATTATAGTATTATTACAATATTCAATAACTGATTAATTTAGGTACTATTAAATTGTTCGAACTTTAGGATTTAAGAAGATGTTCAAATATTCCTCCATCGACTGCTAGACAATAACCCAGGCAATCATAAAAATCTCTTTTTACATTCGCTAGTTGGTAAACTGAAATTCTATTGCATTCAGCAGAAATAGCATTTTTCAGCTCGTCTAGATTTGGGTATTTTTTATCCTTGTATATCCTGTTTTTTAAATGGCCCCAGAAAAAGAAATCATTTGGCGAAATGTCAGGAGACGTTGCTGGCTAATTTACTGTATGATTTAGGCGTTTCCGTTAAAACTATTGTCTAAATATTCCCGAACAGCCAGTGTACTATGTGCCGGGCAGCCATCCATTTGCTACCAAACTTCCTGATTTTCCCTAGCGGCATTATGTAAAGCAGGTAAAATATGATTTTCGAATAGTTCCAAATAATATTCTGCATTTCAATTTCGCATAAGAAATAATGGCCCGATGATATTGTGTCCGAATATCCCTGCCCAAACATTTACTTTCTGTGGATATTGCGTCTTTGTTTCGACAAACCTGTGTTGGTTTTCTTTGTTCCAATATCGATAATTTTGAACATTGGGTTCATTATTTAAGGTAAACGTGCATACGTCAGTGAAACATATGTTTTTTAAAAATTCCCTATCCGTGTTTGCTCTTTCCATCATATTAAAACAAAACGCCTGCCGCCGTATTTCGTCCCTATCTCGTAGCTTTTGGTGCTTTTCATATTTGAAGGAATAGTATTTATGTCGTTTCAAAATTCGAAACGCTGTAGTGTGATCTATTCCTATTTCATCCTCAAGTTTCCTTGTGCTGATCTTTCCATCGTTCTCTTCCACGCACAATAAAACTTCCAAATCGGTATCATTTCTTGCATCTTCTCTTTGTTCCAGCCTTGCTTCACATCTGCAGTTATTTATTAGGGTACCTTTGGTCTCAAAGTTCTGGATATTCCTTGCGATTGTAGATTTTGCAGGTATCGTTCTATTCGGATACAGAGCAGCAAATATGTCTGACACCTTTTGATAACTATTTCCTTGATAATACCATTTAATCATCAATACTTTTTCTTCGGTAGTGTAATTCATGTCTAATATTTTCGATGTAGGTATGAGTTTTTAATAATAACAATAAAGCACTAAATAGATAAATTTCTGAAATGACAACTTCATTTGACAGTTATCTTTTACCTTAACTGGTGCTCATAAGTAAATACAGGGCCATAAAAAAGGAGAAATATTTAAAAAGAAATCGGCGATAACTCGTAAACGGGCTAATCAAAAATATCTACAGTTATTCTTTTGAATGTGGGTTTTAGTGCTCTTCAATAAACCTAAATAGAATTATTCTCTAAAATAATTAGGGAAGTCAATAATAGACCCCATTAAAATTTACATGGGATTTTCTATGTCCCGCTCGACGATGCAACACCCGGTATAGTTCTTAATATAGGTAATGACTTTATATTATAAAATGGTAAGTATCGATCAGAACTTATCGGTTTAGATTATATCTTCGTCGATAATATTTTATTTAGTTTTTACATATGGGTTTATTATCTATATCAATATCTTGATCTGACTGTTAGCATTACAAATCTATTTGGTGAGGTATATTCACGAATATATAAGATAATAGATATAATGTATATTTTATACTATAATTATCCTTGTATATTCTTCTTTCATTTGCACCCATGTGTCTCATTGATATGCTGTTTGGTTGCAGTTTAATTTTTGATATCGTAGCTTCATCTTCGATTAACGCGTCTTTTTATCTTTTTACAAGATACTGAGATAGAGTGAACCTGATGACATGTGTCCAACGACAGTGTACCAATACCTGAAAAAGTTAGATTTTCGATTTCAAGAAAATTATTCTGGCGAAAAATTATAGAAAATATTCAAATTTAACTAAAACAGGATCATTTTCAAGGTATAATTGTCGAGATACTGGGACACGGTGAACTTGATGGTATGTGTCCATCAGCAGTGTGCCAATAGCCGAAGAAGAAAGATTTTCAATTTGAGAAAAATTATTCGTACAAAAAGTTATTGAAAATATACAAATCTAACTATACGAGATCCATTTTAGTGGTACAATTGTCGAGATACTAAAATTCAGTAAACTTAATGGCATGTGAAGATTGATTTTGGATTTGAAGAAGATTTTTCAGATGAAAAACTACTAGAAATATAAAAATCTAACTATAACAGAACCATTTTAATGGTATCATTGTCGAGATACACAGTGAACCTGATGACAAGAAGTGTCATCAACAGTATACCAACAGGCGAACTATTTTGATTTGGTTTCACATCTTTGCGTATGTTTTTTCGTTAAGTTATATTTAGAGGAAGCACCAGGAACCTTATTGATGCACTATTTCTCTAGTTTTGACATTTCCGATTTTGTTTCTGTTCTTGTCAGAATCAGGGAACATTCTTCTGAAGCATCAATGGATCTTGCCTCTGTCTTGCTATTCGATACAAATTTATCGAAATACTTCTGAAAGTAACTATTCTGAAGCAATGGAAAAGCAAACGATCTAGCTAGAAAAGGAGAGAACACTCCACTAACTGGACCAGAACCATTCTGCTTCCCAAGCGGAAACCAGCTTAAATCTAACCATTCTGAAGCTAAGTTATAATATGATCTACTTCAACTTTCTCAAGAGATTCTTGGTCTCACTGCATTACAATATTTGTTCGATGACACAATCTTTTGACTATTCATGTTTTTGTTATTTGTTGTGTTATTTTAGTGCCTATGTTTCACAGCTTTATGTCATGACAATACTTATCATTGACATATTCCGCACATTCTGCACAATTCTTTTAGTATGTAGATCAAATAGATACTTTTTTTACTTAATTAATCAACCACTTAAACGGAACATATCAACTCTTCGCCAAACATCCATCGCCTCTCGGTTCATCTAAAAAATACATGCACGCGATCGACGACAGGGTACCGCATGGGTCGTACCTTGTCGTGGTACTCGCGTGTCCGCGCTCCTCCCAGCGTAGCATGGATGCTGGGCATCTCCGGACCAATGGCTTCGGCGCACTCTGGCGCGGATCACCGCCCGTCGCCGGTACTCTCGACGGCGCGGTGGTACCCAGAAGAAGATTTAAGGAGGATTTCTCGGTATCAGCCAAGCGGTCTGGCGTGGCCGAGCACGTCGCCGCTGCCTCTGGCGTTGCCAGGCAGTGGCGTTCGTTGCTTGATTGTATGTGTCTTTCACGGTACTATTAGATTTTTTGCAAATTTAAGAAATTAAGTCTAATATTATAATGGGGTTAAAAAGTTTTATTTCAGTAAAATTATACACTAATTCACAACAATACACCAAAACCATTTTAAATGTCGGCTTTATCAGCGGATTGATTAATTTTTATTAGGTATTCCACTGCAACCTCACCAGATCTAATGTTATCTTCACTAAATACTCTGAACCAATGAACACCTACCCGAACATGCTTCAGGCAAAAATTTACGCTATAGCAGTGTTTTTCAATCTGTGGGTCGCGAACCCTGGGTGGGTCGCGAAGCCTTACTCGGGGTGTCGCCGGCTGAAAGAAAAAGTCAAGGTTCTCTACACAACAAAAACACAATTTTAGTGAGAAGGATGTGCTTGTTTATTTTTCAAAAGTTTATCAAATTGTGGTGCTATTTTTGGAACGTTAATTATCAAATCGTTTTCTAATTGCAGTCTATTTCTCTTTTTAGTTTTAATGGCTTCATTGAAGAAAATGTCGTATGAAGTGGCGATGGCGTATGGCATTAATAATTTAAGAGCTTCCCTTGCCAGTTCTGGATATTCGTGTTTTCTTTTTATCCAAAATACGTCGACACTTTCTGAATAAAATTCCATTTTAAGCATGCCATCAGCGGCTTAATCTAGAAGACATTCTTTCATTTTTGTAGTGACATCAGCCAGATCTATTGATTTGCCCAAAAAAGGTTTAAATTCCATCTACGCCCATTGTCAGATTCGGAGTGCAAGTCTGGAAAGTATGTTAAAAATTTTTTCTTGTAAATGATGCAAGCTCTGTATCATGCAAGGAATGTGAGCTAATACTGCAAAAGTTTGGTCTGTTGCATTATCTTCAATAATCTTCTGAACACATGGAAAAGATTCGAACATTTTGTTTTACAGGGGGGTTGAGCACAAATGAAGTCCACCAAGAGACAGAAAGTAATGAAGAAGCAAACGATCTAGCTGGTAAAGAAGCGATCACTCCACTAACTGGACCGGAACCGTTCTGCATCCCAAGTGGAAACGATCTTAAAGCGGAACTCAAGAACCTAGGACTCCACCTGTAACCTGGAATGGGCATTCTCCAACGGTCTAAGATCTATTGTCTAAGATTGATTTAAGTAAAAACAATCTCCGGATTGTCACAGTTGTTATATACTCGTGAAGTTGCAATTGAATACAAACCAATGTAATCTGTATTCTGACATGCCTCTATATTTATATGAGACGGTTGTCGAAGTTCGTGTCTAAGTAGTTCAAACTTCTTGGAGCCTTGGGAAAAAGACCACTGGTATAACCACTGAAATTCTGGTTTTGGAGTGATTTTTCCGTGTCGTCGTATCAAAGTTATTATTTTGGCCTTCAAGTCCACCTCATAATTTAAAGAATAATAAAAAATTCTTACTTCTCTTGTGAATTCATCCTGGGTCCTGTAGTTTGCTTGGTTATTGCTGTACCAGAACAAAGCCTGTCCTTGCAAAACTGAGATAAGAGCGGCAATAATAGGTCCAGTTGAATGTTTTGCACTATACAAATTTCTTCAAGTCTCTCTAGGAAGGTCTGAAGGGCCATTAGATGTTGCTCTCCATTTGTAAATTTTCAAAAAATTAGAATTAAAATATTGTGTTATGCTAATCGCACTTTGAGTGACAAGCGATGGAGACAGCGCTGCCAGATTTTGATGGATTTATGAGGTGAATCTTAATTTAAAATTGACAAACAACATATTTATTATATAATTTTTTAAAGAATTTTACGTTTTATTTCTAATTTAATAAGTAATATTTTAGTGACTAATTGATTTATTTATTTTATAGCTTATGTATTTTACTTATTACATATTGGCAAAAACGAGTCCATTATGAAGATTATTATAAGCGTTATTATAGGTTATTTATTGATCTACGTCTTACAAGGCCATAAGTGGTCACAGCAAGAGGGTGCTATTAATGCACAAACTAATAATCACAGAATTTAATAAAAACTAACTTAAAAAGTGGTATAATGTGCTTATCAATCAAACTTACTTTTCTGACTATAGTCAAGAGTAATAAAAGACCGTTCTCGTTCAAAATAGATTTAAAAAAAAACAGGGAAGTTACAAGCTCTTTGCTTCGACTGTTTAAATGCCTCGGCATATTTTCAACACACAATTTCAAGAAATGCAATACAAAAACTGGAAAATTTAGTTCTTAAAAGAACTTTTTGTGCTTAAAAGTGCAATTTTTAAAACAGACTATGAAAATAGGCAAAAAACGAGAATTATTCACAAAGATTCAACAACAACACGATATTATACAAAATAATGACTGACATTAGGATAATTTTCAAATAATAAAGGACAGCATTACTGAACATGGCGCAATGTGACCAACATAGCGATAATAAAATTCGGTTTAAACTAATTTTTGCAGCTTTAATCTAAATAAAATATCTGTTACAATCATTTGCTCTATAAAGTAAAATGAAGAGCTGTTCGGTATCTTAAATTATACAGCAAATTTAAACATTTTTGCCAAAATTTCATTCAATCAGGTTTATAAACTTTAGTGTTAATGTCGATATGATTGATGACGTGCATGGGAAAATGTTTTGCGATTACTATACAGGCCCGGCAATGGATCTCTAGGCATAGGAATTACATGTATTGGAATGAAACGCCTATAAAAAGTCTATGCTTAAACAGAGATGGACAACAACTTCCCCGTTTCCACTTCCACTACGACTGTCTACTTAGACAAACTCCAATAAGATAACAAATTTTGGAAATTCCGCCACCTCCCATCCACTCTTGATACCCATCTCTCTGCCCTTTATTTATCGCCATTATTTTATTTCCCTTCCCGCGCCTCCGCACCTCGCTATTCCGACTGCCGTCAGTTCATCAAGCCAGGTCTACCGGTTTCGTCTGTAAGCTAACGATCTACCGATTTAAAGAAAAATCTAACGATATATTCAACTGCGTCTTTAGTTTTTATAGAAGCACTTTTAAAAAGCTGACTTATTTGACTAAAAATTAAGCGACTGCCGCGTTGAAATCTGTATAATCTGACTTTATTATTGTTTCATTAAATTTTATTTAGTAATAACACACATACAGGTCATCGTTCTGTCTAGTTGCAGAGTTACAGAGATATTCCTAAAAATCCTTATTACTTCTTATTAGGCGCGGTATTGGCGACATGCCCGAAGAAGTTGATATCTTTTGAAAAGATTTTATTTCATTCATCTACTAAAGTTGAACCCATATTTTCCCCCAAAAAATGTAAACAAAAAACAAAATTTAAGTTAAGAAACAACCTAAATTCGGACAAATATTTTAGTGATTTTCCCGTCAATACCAACATTTATTCACAACGTAAAATAAAACAACAAATTATTGAGTCTACCCCACGTCTACCCTACATCATAGTTTTACATTTTTTAAATAAAATTAGAACGACACTGATAAACCGGAATTTAAGTCGGCCATATTTGAGGCCCATCGCGGTGTACCTAAGATTTTTGATATGCTCCTTCCTTAGTCTTCTTATTCAAAGGTTTTGACTGTTTTGAAAAGTAATAACTTTTCGTCCGTACCTGTATAAAACCATTGACTAAAAAATATACATTTCCATAACTTTTTACGTAAAAAATGTCTCTTGGTAAAAATCGCTACGAGCAACCGTTCTTAAAATATTTAGAATGGAAATAGTCAATACATGTAATTATTGACAAAAAATAAGCACGTTGTGTATAGTTATTTGACTGAAATAATACATTTTTATTTTTTTAAACTAATCATAAATTTTTCTGTGAAAAAATGATGATTAAACAATTTCTGTTGAACTTTTGACACAAAAAGATTTCAAATTTATTATTTCAGTCTAATAACTATTTAGTCAACGCATGTTTAATTTATGTCAATGATGACAGGTATTGATAATTTCAATTCCAAATATCTCGAGAACCATTACTCGTAGCGATTTTTACCAAGAGACCTTTTTTTTTTGTAAAAAAAGTTGCAAATGTATATTTTTTTACTCAGTAGATTTATACAGGTATGGACGAAAAGGTATTACTCTTCAAACCAATTAAAACATATGTAGGTGGCGCCCTCTACAAGTAGGAGTAATATTGACATGAAAATAAAATTTCTCATGTCAAAAAACTCCCAGACACAAATTTTCATCCAAATATTGACGTTACTTCAGAAATTATGTAGAAAAAATCGAAATAAAAATGAAATTTCTACACCCTGTATTTCCGAAACTAAGCATTTTTAATATGCAGAATATGCTGCCGAAGTTTCCGGAATATATCAGATGCAAAAAAAACGCAACGGAGAAATTTTTGGTCAAAAATTTAAAGTATTATATTTTTGTTATTTTTAGCCCTATTTTCATTATTTTTTTAGCAAGCTGTAGATAATTATATCAACTTTAATTCGTAAACTAAGTTTTTTTTATAAACGTTAGTATTTGGCATTTAATCGAAGGGTTGTTTTTTTACCATAAAAAAACTTTTAAAAACATGCAAAAATTTCGTGCGTGAAATTTCCTAAAACGGTCAAAACCATGACTCCCGAGCATTTTGTTTTTTGATTCATGTCAATACATGCTTTGGTTAATTTTTAAGAGCGAAATGAACTGATTACGATCAATTTGTAATTTTTCCAATTATCATTACTTTTTGATGTAATTTTTTAATTGGACGAGATGGTTTTGGTGACAATTATCATAACTTCATATTACCTTGCATTGAATACTTACTAAACTAGAAATAAACGTTAAATACTAAAGATACAGTCCTCGTTTTAATAAACATTAATAAAGATAACAGAACTAATGATATTAAAGAAAACATCGTAATAATCAAGCATTGTATTGCCTCCCTTGGCTGTTATAACTGTCTGTATACATCCGTTCATACTGTCGTTGAGGCTGCATATATCATATTGCGATAATAATAAAATGGTTCCATCATATCTCAAACGTATCTATCCTTGAAAAAACTAACTGCGAGAGTATTGAAGTCATGATTATAAAGTCCCGCTTAAGATGGGTTGGTCACGTATGCAGAATGCAAGAAAACCGCATACCAGAATCTCTGCTTTACGGTGAGCTTGTAGACAGTAAGAGGAGGCCGGGTGGACAACTCAAAAGGTTCAAGGATATTTTCCACGAAAACTTAAAAGGAATTAACAAGCAGAATGAGTGGGAAGGGGCAGCTCACAATAGAACGGAATGGAGAAGAATTGTAAAGTCAGTTAACAGCGACAACCAAAAAGTAAAGAGGCAACAAAGCAATGAGATTTTTGAATATCTGAAGTGCGGTAGACAGATAACATCACGTATCGGGCTTTTCAGTCACAGAAAAGCTCATGAAAGAAAACGCCTTGCGTGACCATCTTCTGATGCGTGTCAAATACTCGTCAGCGAGTAATGGCGGTATGTATGTATGTATGTATGTATCATATTGCGATATGTTTTCTCATTCTTGTTTAAAGACCAAGCAAAGTTCATTTAATGAAGCTGGTAGCGCTTCGCGACCTAGAACCCTCCTGCCAGTTATTCTGTCATGCCTCCTGCCAAGCATTTCCCAAACGTCATTGACGTTGATGAGTCATCAGTTCATAGTGGTTTATATAGTTCACAATAATCTCCAAAGCCGCCTTGTCATATTAAAAAAACAACTTCAAAAAGAAATGATAGTTGGAAAAATGGCAAATTGTTGGTGGCGAGTTCATTTTGCCCTTAAAAATTAACCAAGACATGTATTGACATGATCCAAAAAATAAAATGCTCAGGGGACATGGTTCTGACTGTTAACGTAATTACTAAGTTTTTAAACAAATTGTTTTTTTTTATTTAAATCCATGATTAAAATAAAAATCCGTGGATTTAAATCACGATCTAAATCTTGATTTAAATTAAGTTGATTTGAATCTTTGCACCCTGCTAGAAAGTCTGCTTCTCATATAGCAACACAACTTAACATTTTAAACCAAACAACTAATGCTACAGAATTGTAGGTTTTCTAAAAGGCTTTCAGCTAGTCAGTCCATGTGAGGAATCCCGTTCC